GTTGATTGTTATAAACAAGAATTAAGTTCCTACAGCATTTTTCTGGTCATAAAAGCATCACCAAACTTATAAAGACTCTAAACTCTTTTAGTATTAAATGTTGAAATAAATGTGAGCTATACAGACATTTAAGAAAGATTAATAAAAACAAGTAAGGCAATTATTTTTTAATCCACTTATTCAACTTCAGAGTCATGGGTGGCCAGAGCCTTTCCCAGCAGCTCAGGGACCAAGGCGGGATTTAACCTTGGACAGGACACCCTTTCATCGCAGGGCCACCCGCACCCATGCCCATTCTCACTCACACTGGTACAATTTAGACACACCAATTCATCTTATGTGAACATCTTTGGGATGTGGGAGGAATCTAGAGTCCCCAGAGAAAACCCACTCAGGCGTGGGGAGAACCAGCAGACTCCACACAGACAGTGCCCCCCGCTAGGAATCTATTTTTTTTTCTCATCAAGGTTGTAACAATACGACATGAATGAAACAATTTGAGAACCTGCTGTATTTGTGGACATCTAATTCTATAGAAATCAAATTCTATAGAAATCACCTCCAGCTTTGTTTGATACCATCAGTGGCAAGGAATTCAGGATGATTCTATGAGGCAGGCAATTCTATTCGAATAGTTTTATTTTCAAGCAATTTCATCCTTCCTTTCACCAAATGTTTGTTTCCCTTTAACTTGCATTCACTAATCCTATTACCAATCTGTACAGTCCACAGAATAACCTAAAATTTTTGTTACCCAATAATGCTCTTCATTTGAATATGATAATTCTCTTTTTTAGACCATGTATTCAGAGTCTGGAAACTTTTGTTTCTTTCAGGAAGAAAATGTCAAAACAGTCCTGATGAATCCAAACATTGCCTCAGTACAGACCAACGAAGTGGGCTTAAAGCAAGCAGATGCTGTCTACTTTCTCCCCATCACCCCTCAGTTTGTCACAGAGGTCATCAAGGCAGAACGGCCAGATGGGCTAATTCTAGGCATGGGTGGCCAGACAGCTCTTAACTGTGGTGAGTTCTTTTAAGTTCAATTGTAGGGTTTTGGCCCATATACTTATGTATATTTTTTGTTTGGATCCACCTAATAATTGTACTGTGTGTTTATAAAAGTTTTTCTCTAAAGTGTGAGGAAGCAGTTAACAAACAGCTGCCTGAAAATGTCATATGATGAATATTACAGAACACCTGAAGGACATAGAAGTTTTGCTTTAATGCTCCAGGATGGCCATGTAGGTTTCTTGGGTCTCCCTCGTCTATCCCAGGATACTGCTTTTCTTGTTACCAGTGAAGCCCTGAGAACTATTAGGAATGAAAAGTGAGAATTAACATTGATTAAGTGCCCTGTGCTCTTGTGTGTCAGCCCTGCAGCATTTGACTTTCACGTATGTTTTCATGATAACATAGATCAATTTCCCTTCTATCCTTCATGCATCTGCTGAGTCCAGTGCTCTGTCTTCTTTAAAATGCTTTAAACCTGTGGAACTAGATCGTTAATGAGAATATCATTAGCTAATTGGGGTAAGCAGTTGGTGTAATTTATATGACAAATATAAAAGACTTAGCTAAAGTTCCATGGCAAGTTAGTGAAACCACAAAAAATCGATGATATTTAACCCAGTTAGATACCCATATCACTGGGATTATTTAAATAAAAGAATCTCATTATAGGAATGGACCTTAGGAGGAAAGGAAATATACTAAAATCTTCAGGCTCACTCTTATCCTATGATTTTTATTAATAAGCATAATGAAAATCATTTGGAGAAGGTGGTAATGTAAGTAACATGAGCATCAGTAAAATATTTTATTAGAATGTCTTCATAATTTTTATTTCAAATTTTTTTTTTTTACCCTAAATGAAATTTTACTGTGGACTGTGGTAGCTTCTTGGAGTTAAATATTTTTAAAAAAATGTGTATTAAAGAAGATATAAGAGTGTGAGATTTTAAAAACTGATTATATTTGATTCTTTCATAGGAGTGGAATTATTCAAGAGAGGTGTGCTCAAGGAATATGGTGTGAAAGTCCTGGGGACCTCAGTTGAATCCATTATGGCCACAGAAGACAGGCAACTGTTCTCGGACAAACTAAACGAGATCAATGAAAAGATTGCTCCAAGCTTTGCAGTGGAATCGGTAAGGAATCTTTGTTCTGGAGCAAAAAAAATACTATTATTTGTCTTACATTATAGAGAGAGTGGTTTGTCATGACTAAAAATAATAATTAAAATTATTATACTTGCATATATGTTCTTCCAGAAATGTGTTACTACCTCAGAGATATTGTGTAATAATTGCAACATTCAATACGCAAATGTTAAGGATAGGTATTAATATTTTATTTTATGAAAAAGAAGCATAAACCCAGAGAAGAATTGATTTAATAATGCCACTGAATCTCAAATTTCCTGAATTAAAACTAAGAACCATACCAACTTGCAATGCCAAAATAATTTTACCTTCTTCCCATGATCAGTCACACACCTCGTATGTGGGAATGACCTGCAAAGATGAAATGACTGGATTTAAATTTTCTTATTAGAATGGAATAAACACTTTAAAATTAAATTATCTAAAAACAAAGGCNCTTTGTCCAGAAGAAACCTATGGAATATTGAATGGAATACACTTAGTCAATTAAATTTGGGGAGATTCTTGTCTATCTATTACCTATCATCTAGCTATCTATCTATATCTATTCTTATCTAAATATATATTAATACATATTAAGTATTAACATACATGTATTTATGTAGTTATTTTTAGATACTTGTATGTGTTTAAATAAAATGTAGACCTCTTCCAATACTTTTTCACTTCAGTGGAAAAATCTTTATGATCTTTGGAAATTGCTTTGAAATTAGAGATGTTTACATTCTGAATCTTTTTACTCATATATTATATATTTTCAAAACATTGTACTTTAAATCACCACATAACCCAGACAACATAGTTTGTCTTCCCTGCTCTTGAAAATGCCTTATTTCCCCATCTTAATAATAAAAGCAATTCCATTGTCTTATTTCTTACAGGTTTCCAAAGTCCTTATCCTAGGATCGGGAGGTCTGTCCATTGGTCAAGCAGGTGAATTTGATTACTCGGGGTCTCAAGCTGTAAAAGCCATGAAGGTGAGAGAGTATGATCTTTGCTAGAATTAATATACTCCCTTTAATGAGTCTAATTAGTATTGTATAATTTAGATTTATGATACTACCTCTTTTCAAAGTCATTATAATTAATTTCCTTAACTGTTTCTTACACATCTTATATTAAAAGAAGTTAGATCACAGACAAGACTTTTAACTTTCTCAAATGTGCACACCTGAAACTTAAGGTTAGCTAGGTCTTCAAAATAATCTACATTATCACCTACTTATATTGAATACATGTAAAGACACCTTTATAGATGTTGCTCATTCCTTTTGAGACAGTGAGCTTTTAAAATATACTTGTCTTTTGTGTGAAACAGGGAGTTGGGACATCCTTGGTGCTCTAAAGTACTTCAAATGTTCTACAGGGTGCTTCAGGCATCTCGGTGTTTGAAATGAGAAGTCAGTTGGGGAAGCCAAAACACAATGGCTTTTGTTCCAGCTTTAGAAGTGTTTACTTACCTGTCACTAGGGGACCCAACTGTGACTTGGATTGGATGACCTACCAGGGTGGTATGGTTGAATTTTCAATTGGAAAAGAGGATTTGATACTCAAGTTAGGAAAAACAGTCTCCTATTTCTTCAAAGAATCTTGAGATCTCCCTGACCCTTATCACAGTAAAAATTCCACTGTACATGTAAGATATTTCTATTAAAAAATGAACTTGGCTTTTCTTTGGTGTCCTGGTTTCCCTGGGTAGTCCCCATCTTGGTGCTAATCAGGCCATCCGGAGGCGAGGTCAGTCCTCTGTGACCTTGCCCCAGGCTTGGCAGTCGACAGCCATTCATCAGAGACCTGGCTAGGAGAAAAGGCTGCAGGCAGCAGGAAACGAGAACTACAAACACAGGAAGTAGTTGGACATTTTTTATTTTATTTGTTATTTTTTGTTTTATTCAGCATTCTATGTACAAAGATTTTCATCTGACAGATGCCTATTGAAAAGCTGCAGAACACAGCCCCCAATTACCTGACTCTCATTCCCATTTGTTTTTATTTTTAATACTTTTCTCCATATACTCCTGGTTGTATACCCACATACACATGTTTTTCATGTACATTTTCAAAGCATACTTTACTTCATTGCATTATAATTTAATTTATCTGTAGATAAACAGTTTAGTGGATGTGCAATGGTTTATATTGGTTATAACACAATATAAGCGTGTTTTGGGTTTAGAACGTATTTCACCAGCATACAATTTTTAAATTCTGTTTGGTAGTTTTATAAAGAATTAATATTTTCATAGCTTGTATTTTTTTTATGTGCTTTAACATCCATTAGGTGAAGTGATATATTTTAACTGAAGAATAGGAATTATTAGCTATAGTATTGTAATTAATTAAGAGGTTAATAGAGATACATTTATGAACTAGATATTTTAAAATAATTAGATTGTACATATATTATAGCCAAAACTATGTTAGAAAAAATGATGTAAAATGTATTAAAGTTGTTTAAAATTATTCCTAGGTTTTAAGATGAATGGACACCCATCACATGCATATATATTTAGGACCTTTTTCTATATAATTTGATTTATAAAGATACCTATATCCATTGTATAGCACATTTAGGGAAATATTTACAAATATATTTAAATCTGTTGGTACTTTTCTATAGTAGCAAGACCTTCTATAACTTCTGTTTATGATCTTCTCAGTTTTGGGCTTAATTATTTCAATTCCAACCTATATTTTAAATGCATTTGCTTATCTGTATGTATCTATCTTATATTTTGCTAATACATGTAAATTCTTTTTAAAACATTTCTTTAAATCTTGAAAGATGACTCATACTGAGAAAAGGGCATAGGATTTGAGTCATAAGACTTGAATTAGAGTCTTAATTTTGGCTTTTATCAGCTATATGCTCTTTGGCAAGTCATTTAGCTTTATTGAATCTCAATTTTTTCATCTGTACAGTGGAAATTTCTCTCATAGTCTTGGTATAAAAATCAAATAAATTAATAAAAAGAGTACATTACAAGTTTGAAGGCACTATTTAAATTTAAAGTAGCATGAAATACATTTAATTTTTCATTCAGATATTCCCCCAAGGATATGTGGGGCTTTCAAGAATGATTTCTATACTTGCATCTGAATGTTTTGTTGACTTTTTAGAAAAGTTCAAAATTGACATGCTAATAGGTAAAATAATAACCCTCTGGCCATATTTTACAATCATTATTTTGCTAGTGTCACCCTCATCCTGGTTTAGAAAGCTGTTATCCTTAGCAGCCTCCATGAAGAATTATTTTGGTGGTCTCTCCAGATGTTAGGAATAGATAGGGCTATGAA